ACGGAGAAACTCATCCGGACGTCGCTTGAGGACCTCTTCTTCCGCGTGCCTGTCGACAGTAACCGACAGCAGCCCCACGATGGAGCCGACGGCCGATCGCCCCAAGACTCAGATTCGCCCGAAGTAAACACCGAGCCCTCTGTTGCCACGACGCTGCGAGAGCTCACCCGGCCGGATGCGAGCGTGGCGACCGTCACCTCCACCACCGCCGCGACGCCAACGCAATTCCAGGATGAAATGCCGTCCCAAAGCACACCGATGCCGCACTCGGGAATTCCGGGGGAAAATAAAACAGACCCCGCTGCAAAAGGCACGAAAGAAAACGGAGAGCGCACGTCCTCCACGGATAAAACAGAAAACGGGAAATCTAAGAGTAACTCATTTACCCAGCGAGAGAAACTGATCTTGCGCACAGCGTGTCTCCCCGTCGGGTCGCTGGGCAGATTTCAGGTCCAGGACACCACATATCAAGTCAGGGGAATGGGAGCAGAGCACATAGCCGCCGAGTGCTGGCGAGAGGTCTCCAACGTGGTAAACGACCACATTAAGCTTCCATACCTCGATGAAACGACTCTTGTGGCCACCACGGCATTCTATTTCATCGCGGCCAGTGCAAATCTCATTGGTAAGTGAACGTTCTTTATGAGGGAACGAAGCCGCAATTGATCATGTACGTTTTTATTCATATATACATATAGATCAGATATATATATAGTAGATGTGAATATGTGTGTGTGTGTGCGTGTGTGTGTGTGTGTGTGTGTGTGTGTGTAATAATAAATATATATTATATATATATATATATATATATATATATATATATATATATATCCACACCACACCCACACCCACACATATATATATGCAGAGAGAGAGAGAGAGAGAGAGAGAGAGAGAGAGAGAGAGAGAGAGAGAGAGAGAGAGAGAGAGAGAGAGAGAGAGAGAGAGAGAGAGAGAGAGAGAGAGAGAGAAAGAGAGAGAGAGAGAAGAGAGAGAGAGAGAGAGAGAGAGAGAGAGAGAGAGAGAGAGAGAGAGAGAAGAGAGAGAGAGAGAGAGAGAGAGAGAGAGAGAGAGAGAGAGAGAGAGAGAGAGAAGAGAGAGAGAGAGAGAGAGAGAGAGAGAGAGAAGAGAGAAGAGAGAAGAAAGAAAGAGAGAGAGAAAAAAAGAGAGAGAGAGAGAGAGAAGAGAGAGAGAAAGAAAGAGAGAGACCAGAGAAGACAGGGAGACACATAGAGAGAGATTCATAGACATCAGACACTGCCTGATAAGGACCCCAGCGCGCCCTAGACGCTGCCACACGCGCGTCCGGCCCGCACCCAGATTTCATCCGCTTTCCCCCGCAGAGCCCGAGATGACTTATGGCTACGTTCGAGTGGAGCAATTTCGAGAAGCAGCGGACTCAAGTAAGTTCGCTCGAGCCTCCCCGTCGCGCTTGGGCTTATTAACTCGTGTTTGGGCTTTCTAATCCGCATGGCGTGAGAGTGTGTCTTTACGGGCGTCTAAAATGCGCCTTAGAGACACGTGCGGCGTGAGTAACAAGCAAACGCTAATGAATACACGCGCAGACACAGACACACAGACATACACTCATCCACATAATTAAGTTCCAAGAAGATGAGACGCGCAGAACAGCCTCGCGTAATTGCTCCGATACAGACTCCCTTCCGCACTCGCAAGCATCCCTCGCCCACCACCAGCGCGCGCCCACGTCTCCCCCGTCAGCAGGCGCGAGAACCCCGGGACACCTGAGGAAGTCGCCGGCGGATGCGCGACTCGCCCCTAATGAGTTCGAGCGAGTCAAGGGCGACTCAAAGGGCCGCCGAGGTGATGATGAGTTTTCTGATTGCATTATGACGTCCGCGCGTAAGGCTTTCCCCGAGAGGCTGAAGAGGTCTCGCCCGGCGTCGAGTGGCGTCCGATAGATCCTGTGGAGGACCCTTCATAGGGAGCCTCGCCCACTTCACGCCTCCTCCCCTCCCACGGCGCCCACGGCGACCCTCCACGACCCCTCAGGTCATCCCCGAATGGATGTATGTATATGCGGAGAGACGCAACTGCTAGCGCGCTCACACACACACACACACACAGCCACACACACACTCACACACACACACACACACACACACACACTCACTCAAGCACACACAAACACACACATATAGCTAAGATACATACATATAAATTTTATATGTATCTGTGTGTGTCAACATGTAAGGACAGATGTGTCCAGCTCCATTTTTGTGCAATTCCTAACCTATTTTGCTTGCATCTACCCTTGGTGACGGCTTCAAAACAAAGGCAAAGGTGAGGCTGCATAATTAGCGAGTCACAACAGTATCATTCTTTGTTATCATGAGACCTCTGTTAGTCCGACAAAACGGATAATCCGGCACGGTCCCGGAAAAACGGGTTCCGGTAAACTGGTGGCATCTGGACCCTTCTTTTTCTCTCGCTCCCCTCTCTGTCTCTCTGTCTCTGTCTCTGTCTCTCTCTCCTCTCT